TCCGAGGCTCCTCCGCAGTGAAGGAGGAGGCGCGGCCCGGCCCTCCCCCGGCCCGGGCCCCCAGGCTCCCCAACGGCCCCACTCCGAGCAGCCCCCGGGTCGCCCCGGAAACGCCGCCCCTCCACCGTGCTGCGCGCCGGGTCGTCCCCCGCTCGTGGAACAAAAGAGCCTCTCCCGCGGGGGTCCGTAGCCCGCGCGGCCCTCTTAGCGCCGGGCTCCAGGGGCACCCATCGGGCTGCCGGGCTTTGTGTCCGTGCAGGGGCGGGAAGGGCGGCGGGACCCCCGCGCATCCCGCGGCGGCGCCCGCACTCCAAAGTTGTCGCCAGCCCCCCTACCTCCCGCAGCGCCCAGTCCCCCCCTCGGGGCGCTCATTCATTCTCAGGGGGGCGCAGACCGCCGGCTCCGGCTTACCTTGCTCTTGACTTCCACCGCGCTGCAGTCGTAGAAGCGCAGGGTCTGAGACTTGTGGAAACTCCGGTTCATGGTTCCGGCCCCGCTCAGCCTCGTCTTCTCCCTGGCTCCTCGCTCCAGGGGCTGCAGGAGGACGCTGGGGGCGGCGCCCCCCGCCCCGGCCCCGACCCCGACCCAGCCCGGCCCGCGCTACTCGGTGCTGTGCTGCACCGTCTGCCTGGACCTGCCTAAGGCCTCCGTGTACCAGGTAGGGCCGCCGGCCCGACCCCGACCCAGCCCGGCTCCAGCCCCGCCGCGGCCGCCCCCCTCCCCCCCCACCTCGGGCACCGCGTGCCCTCGGAAGCCAGGTCTGAGCTCCGGGGCCCAGTAGTCGGGACTCCTGGCGTCTGTTCGGAAGCTTTTCATTCTCCTCCTCTCAGGACTTTATTTCCTACTCATAATCAGTTTCTTGTTCTGACTTCCCTTGTTTCTCGATTCGAATCTTTCTGCTTCTTTATTTTTCAGCCTTCCCCGCTGCCCGACCTCAACACTCCCCAGCCCCCCCTTTCAAGTTGACCCCCAAGAAAGCTGGTGACAGATGCCCCCCCACACACTCCTCAGAGTCTGTTCCCCTCATTCTTGAGCTCCCTGGACTCGGAGACCCTGGTGTTTCCTATTCACTCAAGCCCTTATTCTCTATTTTTTTTAGCAGCCACACCCCCGAAAGCTGTCTTCAAGCTTCTCTTGTATATCTTCTATCTCCCAATTGAAAGAATTCTCTTTCCGTTTTATTTTGGAAGAACACTGAAAGGACGGGATCACGTCTTTTCCCTCCTCTCTCCCTTCCCCTCATTCCCGGTCTGGATGAACCAGCTGCATGAAGCCCCAGTGTGGCTCCCTTCTCTCTTCCCAGCCTGACCGCATGCTGTGCTTTCTAGACATGCTATGCCCTAAGTTAGACTCCCACCCCATCCCACCTTATCCACACCAGGCCTGGCTTCTTAGGCTACCAGCACTCCACCTTCCTTTTTCCATGTGTCCACCCTCCTTTTTCCATGTGAGGATCCTGAGTGGTGGCTGGACTCAGTCCTTAGCCAGCCATGGTCATCAGAGAGGGTCCTTGGCCCAGGTGGATCTTCCATGTGCATCACATAGCAGCAGGGGCCACACTCTGGCCCAGGTCAGTTTGCAGTGTGCTGCCTTCTTTGTTCACTTGTCTCTCTCCACCTCAGTACCTCCTCCCCACTCTGACTTTGATACCCCTTCTTCCAAGAAGCCCTGTGAGGAATGGAACGGGTTCTCTGTCATCTTTCTTTGCACTTACAGGAGCTGGTCATAGCTGATGGGGCCTTGTTTTTCTATTACTCAAATTGGGGGCCATGGGTGAGAGGGCCATTTTTGTAGTAAGCAGCACGAGGCTAATCTGGGTTGCCATTTCCCCAGCCTCTAGATCTCCAAGTCCTTTCCTGCTTTGGCATGAGGTAGCTTAGGAGGACCCTGGTGTGCAGAGAGGAAAGAGAAGGCATTGGCAGGGAAGTGGGTTGAGTTCTTTGGGTGGAGGGTACTGCCTCTCAGCCTATCCTGGCGAGAGGCCCTAGCTCAGGAATACCATAGGTCTTCTGACCCAATTGGGGGAGTGCTTCCCATAGCCCCTCAGTCTTGGGGGTACCCCTTAGAGTTGGGCCCTTTCCAGCCCCTTTTTCCCTTGCCCATGATCTTTTGATCCTCTCAGGTGGAGGAATTCTTCCTTCCTTGGGTCTTAAATGAGAGCCCTAAAAAGCCAAGCCACCAATGGGTGGGGGGGAGGTTCCCAGGGGAATTTGGGGGTCTCTCGTCCTGTGAGTGGGCTAGACCTGGACCTGGCATGATGACATAACAGGCCACATGGTGCTGCCTCCTGGTCCACTCAGCGCAGACCCAAAACTCTGCCTCTGGCCAGAACCACTGTGCTGGGGCCTGTGAGCCTGGCTGGTTCAAACCGGCCCACACTGCGCCGGGAGCTGAGCTCTGTCCTAGGCGGGCTGGAGGCAGGCAGCTAAGCAGCTGTGACAGAGACAGTGAAGGAGCTGAGACAGCCCTGACCTGTGGCCCTCCCCATTGCCTAATGGGCTGTGCGTAGCAGCCTCCCTGGAAACAGGCCTGCTAAGCAAGGAGAGCCCGTGATGCTAAGCTGTAGGCTCTGGTACTGGTCCCCCTGCTCCACCTCCATTCTTCCCAAAGTGACAGCCGGGCCTTGATAGGGAGTTGTTTACCTCTCATCTCTGGAGGCCTGGAGAAAGCTCTAGAACATGTGATCAGTAGCAGAGCTCTGGACTCTAGAAAGTTTGACTAGAGTCCTTCCAGGGGTTAACACTTGCTTTGGCTACTGGAAGCCGTGCCGTGGGTGGGGGCACACCTTGCTTGGATACATAGCCGTGCCCCGGAGGGCCCAAGGGATGAGCCGGAGAAAGGAGGGGCGGTTTCTGGGTGGCTCCCTACTGCATACCACCCTGGATGGGGACGTTGAGGGTAGTGGTTGGGATGGGCCTGGAGCCCTTCCTGTGCCATTGCCTGGTCCCATCTGAGCTGGGTTTACTCCCAGGAGGATTTGGTAATGAACGGCCTAGGCCCTACACACGCTGTCTCGAAACAGGCAGGCACATAGCTTTCTGTGTGTCCCTGGTTGGGGCCCACTACTGGCCGTCACCTCTTGGCCTGGGCTCAGCCCCTCCATTTTTGAGGTCCTTCTTTGGTGAGCTGTGTTGACTGGCCGTTTCTGGTGGGCTGCTCTCAGGCCTGTGATGTGTTCCGTTCTCTGTTTCTACCAGCAGCATTTCTCCTGACCCCACCAGGACACACGGCTTGTGTCTGGGGATTGTCTCAGATGGTGCCCAGCTCTGGGGTGAGGAAAATAGTCAGGGCCCATGGTGAGCCCTGTGCGCTGTGCCTGGCTGAGGCTGTGGGGGACAGCTCCATGGGCCCCTAGAGTTGGCTGAGTGCATGGTGACTTGAGAGCTTGCCCTTTGGCCACCAGACCCCACCTCCATGCCACCAGGGGAGCGGTGGTGGCGGGCAGAGCTCGCTTGCACAGACTTACCCACCTGTTTCTGAGTCTGAGCCCTACATGGCTGGCTCTCCCACACATCTAGCTCGTCAAGCCACACACACCTGGGCTGGAACTTGCTTTCGTGTAAGAGCAAGGCAGTCATGCAAATGGTTTTCACCACGGCCTACTTTAAGTTAGGTCAGGTCAGGGACGGAGTGGGTACAGCAGGTGCTAGCTTTGATGTTCTTTGTGCGGGTGTTGGGTGTGGCCTTGGTGACCGGCCCTGCAGGGTATGGGGCCACTTTCCAGAGTCCCAGGCAGCCACTGGGGCAGGCAGGTGGGGGCAGGAGGGCTGGAGTTGGAGCAGGGATACTCATGCAGGGTGGGCAACAGGGCATCTGCCGTACATGCAGAACTGTCGCACCAGGGCAGTGTGACCTGCCCCCCACTCCCCCCCGCCCTGTGTGTCTGAGTGCCTTTTCTGGAGGAAATAGCCTTGGTGGTGCCTGGAACATTGAAACTGCAGCCCGATCTTCCCGGGCTCTCCCCCAGCCTTTCACACAAGGCCCGATGTGTTGTCCGCGTGATATACCTGGTAGGACCCCGGACCGGCGTCTGGAGGGAGGGCGACCTAGCTCCGCCACCCCTCACCACACTCAGCCAGAAGAGTTCCTGTGACCCCCGCCCCCCGTCGGGAAGGAGTAGTCAGGGGGGTGTCACAGGATGCGGCCCCTGAGTGGCTTTGTGGCCTGCCAGCAGCACACCCCCTCCTCCCAGGGTGCCCTCTCCCTACTCCTCCTTTTTTTCTAGGGCCCCACAGAGGCAGTGGCCCCATGCTGTGGCCATCCTCTCTGCCTGCGACAGGACGCTTGTCCTCACTTGACTGGGGCTCTTGCCAGTTTCTGCCCTGTGGGAGGGCTGGGTATGTCTTGCTGTGCCTCTCACCCCTGAGGTCTCCTGTCTCCACCAGGACTCGGCTCAGTCAGGCCCGGGAAACTGGTTACGTGATTGGCAGTCATGTTGGTAAAAGGCCTAGGAAGCAGGGGTGGGCCCATCTTTGCCCAGGCCCCAGCCAGTGTGGTCGCAGGCCTTGGGGAGCCCCCAGTGGTTGTCAGCATGCCTGGTGCTGCAGGCTCTGTTCAAAGTGATGTTTAGGGAATCCCCCATGAGGCTGCCCACCCAGCTGGCCTGGGATCCTCTTCCCTAGCTCCTGGCTCTTGTTTTGAGGTAAGAAAGGTGGCAGAATAGAGCTCCAAAACAAGAGCATAGAGAGGAGAAAGTTTCTGAACCCTGGCTACATGAGAAGCTGTATTTTTTTGTGGTGGTTACTTGTCATTTGAGTTGCCTTTCAATCCGGCGTATCTACATTCTGAACAAGAACCTGGCTATGGGAATGACTGGTTCCCCCCCCGAGTCCTGACTCTTGAGGTGTGATATCAGGAGCTGTTGGTCCAGGACTTCAAACCCAAAACCCAGTGGCGTGTTAGAGTCCTGGCTGTAAAGCTGCATTTCTTGGACACGGCAAGATCTCTTCTTAATTCCCTTGAATAAAGAGATTGAGGAGACCTCAGGCCAAACATCAGGGACGTGGGGTGCCCTGCAGCTCTCATGAGCATGGTGAGAGGGACCTCCAGCTGGGCTGAGCAGCAGTTTTGGGGTTAGTGCCCTAGCTGTCCTTTGGAGGGTGGGCTGCTCACATGGGCCTAGGTGCCAAGCCTTCCTGGAGCCCCCAGCGTTTGAGGGGACCATGTACTTCAGGCTTAAAAGAGGGCCTAAAAGGCCTATTGACCAAGGCTTGGTTTCCAGGAGTTGGGGGGGGGTGGTATTTTCTAAGGTGCTTTTACAGCCCAAGGCCTGGAGTCAGGGCTCCTCCCCATGAGTTTGGACGGTACATTCAGCTTCCCCTTAGCCCAGGGGGGACGCTGGCCTGGGTGCACGTGGGCTGCCTGTGGCCAGGTAGAGGGAGAGGTTGCTGGGTGGTGTCCTGAGAGGGCAGGTACAAATGTCCGCTCCTGGGCCATTTGCGGAGGGGCTTGGGGGATATTGCTGTGGCTTGGGTGGGGCTGGGGCCTCCCGGGGTGAGGGAGGAGCTTTTGCTGAAATCACATTCTTGTGCCAGGAGTCCTTTCTGAGGCTCTGCAGGTGGGGGCCATGTGAGGGGCTGGCCAGGCTCTGCTGTGTGGTAGCCGTGGTGGGTGTTTCTTCTGTTCCTGTCACGTGCTGGGGGCTGAGCCATGCTGTCATACGTTTCCCACCCCATCTCTTCAGCACATGATGAGGCCAGTCCTGTCTTTTGTCACTTTCTGTGCCTGAGGAAAGTGAGGCCCAGAGAAGAAAGCAAGAAGCCCAGGGTCATGCTGCTGGTGATCTGTAGGCTAGAGATTGAGCCAGCATCTGTCCTGGGAAGCCCTACAATGTTCTGGATTGGGGTGCCCCTCTTCCTGCTCCTCCTACCAGCAGGATCTTCCTGGCAGCCTGGGTGAGCGCTGCAGGAGCTGCTGCTTGGGGTACCCAGGTTCTTGGGGGCTTGGCTCTAGCATGTGGAGTGGGGCATTCTGGCCTGCCCTAGCTGTCCATTGGAGGCTTGGCCTGCAGCTGGCATTGTGCAGAGCCCTCTGGGAGCCAGGTTCCGGCCGGGCAAGTCAGGGTAGGTACAGTCCAGCCCGGCCGCTGAGGAGGCTAAGTCTGCATTACCAATTGGCCAGGCCTGCATGTGGAGTCGGAGTCTTGCTCAGGAGGTCGAGGAGGACCTGGATAGCGGGGAGGGCTCTGGAGCATGGTGATCCACCCTGCTGTGGACAGACCACCTGGGCTGGATGTCATCTGGGCCCAGACCAGCCACCTGGTTTTTACCCAAGAACACCCCTCGGGTAACTGGTGAGGTGCTGGCCGCATGTGGACGTCCGCTTGTCCCTTGGCTGAGCCAGTAGCACTCTGCAGCATCTTGCTGGCTCACTGACTTCCATCTCACAACTGAGCTGTTGGGGCCTAAGGGGCAGTGACCCTACCTTTCCCCAGAGGACGGCAAGGGTCAGTACGGCTTTTCCATGGCGTCCTGTCACCGAAGCCTGTGTTGCATCTAAAAGCTCCAGGAGGAAGGGGGTGAGAGCTAGCTTGGATGTTCCTGCAGCCCACAGGCTCTAGAAGAGACCTGCTGGGAGGGGTATGCAGGTCACCCCTCTGCACCAGAGTAGTGGACTTTCAGGGCAGTGCTGGGAGGTAGGTGTCATGTACTTGGCAACCTTGGTGTTCCTCAGGAGGCTCTAGGACTCCATCCAAGTCTCTCACCCTTAACCCCACACCCTGGCTGGGCCACCTTGAGATAGAAGAGAAGCCAGGTGAGTTCTGTTGCTGTTCTGCTCAGGCGAGTGGTAGCTGCAGAGCTGGGCCCTGCCCAGGTAGCCTCTCACCAGAAGGCATCGAGAACCAGAGTCTGTGGTGTGGGGCCCCCAGGCCATGGGTCCCAGGGTTGGCATCCTGCAGGCCCTGGAAGTAAAGGGCCTTGGTGTCCAGCCAGGCATCCTCGTTGGAGGTGCCAGGCAGTGGTTGTGGGGGCACCCTGAAGTTGTGGGGTCCAGGGGGCACCCTGAAGTTTCCTCCTCCCGTGACTCAGTCGTTAGTGAGCCTGAGCACCGTCCTTCTATGCCTCTGCAAGCTGCAGCAGTCTTCTCTTGGGGGCTGTGGTTTGGCGAAGCCAGGTCTCTGCCGGGCTCAGGCCCCTGGCGGGGGCTGTGATTAAGCACATGCCCTGGGCCCTTGGTCTCTGCCTCCCACCGGGTGGAGGGGGCCTGTGGTGTTTGTGTCCCCTGCCCTCCCCTTCACCCACCGCATCTCTGGCTTCTCCATTGACCCCTGGGGGTGGACAGGGTAGCCTGCTGTTCTCGTGAGCAGGCCTCAGCTCATCCCAGCTGCTTCTGGGAGTCCCCACCCCTGCCAGCCCATGTGTCCAAAGCTGGCACTGGTCCACCCCTGCCAGGCCCTTTTCCTCCAAACCTGAGCCCAGCCAGCTCCCCTTCCTCCTCTTGCACATTTTAATTTTTGGCCTGACTTAGAAATGGAGATTTTTAGCACGGATAGTCTGTGGTGTTTGTGTGGACATGGATTCTGTAAATGAGGCCTTTGTCCCCAGCCCTCCCACCTGCACTGGTCCTTAGCACGTAAGTCCCATCACTCACTAGCCCCCAGGGCCAGCACACAGGTGCCAAGAGCTCCCTCGGCCTCCCACAGCTCCTCAGCTCAGGGTGCGCAGACCCCTGAAATGATGGGATGGCAGCTGGTGTTGACCGAGGATCCCATGTGTGTGGGTGTGGCCAGGCCTCTACTGCACTGCAGCTGCCCTCAGAAGTGCCCTGGACCTCGGGGGAAGCTTGTGGCCCAGTGGCTTTCTGGAGGTTTGCCCCGGCTGGGGAGCCCAGGCCGGCAGCTGGTGAGGCCTGTGACAGCGTCATCTGCCCGCTCACCCTCAGCTGGCTGCAGGAGAGTCTCCAAGTGGAAATCCAGCTACCCTCAGCAGAACCCCCACATGCCCCTCACAGCGTTCCCTGACCTCTGCCCCTGCAGGTTCTTACCAGCCAGGGCCAGGCCTGGGGATCTGTGTCTGCCCGAGGGGACGCTCAGCTCAAGTCTTTGCTCTTGTATCTCGGTGGGTCTCTCCTACCCCTGGAGGGCCGGGCCCACAGCCTGTGTACTTCCCTGAACGGCACCACGAGGGCACTCAGGATGTGCCTGTGGAACCAGAGGCCCGCTGTCCGCGTGCGCATGGACTCCCGGCATGGGCACGTTGCCCACAGGCAGTGTCTGGGCCTCAGATCTGCAGGCTCCCAAAGGAAGGGGGCCTGCCTCCTACTGACCCAGGTCAGCAGTGTGTCCTGCCGGTAGCCCCCGTTCTCTCGTCCAGGCATACACCGTGCCCACACACCCTTGTCCCAGGCCAGCTGGGTCTCCCCACCCACCCCAGCTCGGTGCCAGTAGCCTGCAGGAAGGTCCCCATGCGACGCCAGGCTCACTGGGTGATGGCAGCTGCCTTCTCACCTGGGCTGGAGTGGAGGGGCCAGGCCCCCAGCACGGGGGAGCAGTGTCTGCTCCTACTCGGCAGCTTCTGGCTAAGTGCCGCTGCCGTGCTCAGACAAGAGTCTGTGTTCCTGTAGGTGTCCCGAAGTCAGGGCCTCTGGGGGACCCCTGACACAGTCCCTGGCCCCTGGGATGGGAAAAGGCTCCAAGCCCCAGCGTGGCCAAACCAGTCACCGCTTGTGGGTCTCCCTCAGTGGAGGTCTGTCACCTCTGCAAGCCACCAAGGGCTCCCTTTGAGTCACCTGCCTCTCCACAGGAACCCCATTGGCCACGTCTTTGCCATGTTCCACGGAAAAGGCCCGTTCCTCCTGAGCAGTGGCTCTGTTTGCCTCTCCTGGCCAGCAGGCCCTTTTGCAGCTGGAGCCAGCGGGGCAGGCTGGTGGTGCGTGTGTGCACGTCCTACAGGTCTGTGAGCTCATCTCCCTTTCCTTCTTCGCAGTGTACTAACGGTCACTTGATGTGCGCTGGCTGTTTTATCCACCTACTAGCAGATGCCCGGCTGAAGGAGGAGCAGGCCACATGCCCTAACTGTCGTTGTGAGATCAGTAAGAGCCTCTGCTGCCGCAACCTGGCTGTGGAGAAAGCCGTGAGCGAGCTGCCCTCCGAGTGTGGCTTCTGCCTGCGCCAGTTTCCCCGCTCCCTCCTGGAGAGGCACCAGAAAGAGGAGTGCCAGGACAGGTAACCTCCTGGGCCGGCCTGCCCGCCGGAGGTTTAGCCACATGTGTGGGGCCCAGGATGGGGCTGGAGGCCACCCTGGTGCAGGCGAGGCCCCAGAATGTGGGATATTCTGGTTGGTCTTTGTTGCCCTGGCCCTGGGTTCTGCACACATAGCCCAGTGACAACCTGGAGGGAATGGGCCGGGTGAAGCTGCTCGGGGCCCAGGCCCTGGAGGGGAGCAGGGGTGGGCCCCACAGAGGGCAGGGGGCTGTGATCTGGACCCAGTGGCTGTTTGGACATCACCCTGGCTCTCCCAGGTTCTCTGGCTGCATGGGGACCTCTTAGAGGCTCTCTGTCCTTGGCCAGCTCTGGGAGCTCAGCGTGAAGCTGCATGGACACCCTAATAACCCAGTCCCTGCTGGCTGGCCCTGCTGTCTGCCAGTGGTCAGGCCAGCGAACCTCACATAGAGCGAAGCTGCATAGGGTCCAAGACCATGGTCAGTGGCCACTGTTGCCAAGCAAGAGAGTCCTCCCAGCAAAGGGTGTAGGTGGCATGTATATTCACAGCTCTCACGTGCTCCTTTTCTCTCAGTCTCTCCCACACACTCCGACCCCTTCCTGGGGGCTGGCACACGGTGGATATGTCCTTCAAGGTGTAATTTGTATGAGCAGGGCTGGGCAGAGCCACCTCCCACAGGGCGCAGGCTGTGACCACGGTGCTCGCCTCCTCCCCAGGGTGACCCAGTGCAAATATAAGCGCATCGGCTGCCCGTGGCATGGCCCCTTCCACGAGCTGACGGTGCATGAGGCTGCGTGTGCCCACCCAACCAAGACGGGCAACGAGCTGATGGAGATCCTAGACGAGATGGACCAGAGCCACCGCAAGGAGATGCAGCTCTACAACAGCATCTTTAGCCTGCTCAGCTTTGAGAAGATCGGTTACACAGGTGAGGCGCCCCGCCACCCACTGCATGCCACACAGGCTGGGGGCGGGGGGGTGGGCGGCGGCTGGGAGCCTGGGGAGCAGTGCGCTCTGAGCAGTGGGCACAGGCCATGCTGGAAGGCCAGGCTGTGGACAAGCTTTTGGTGAATGGGAGGACACCTTTGGGGAGAAGACGTGCCAGAGGCCAAGCAGGGGAGGGGCCGGGGCAGGACCCCGGGGGCACCTGCATGGCTCTCAGAGGCCCTCTCACCTGTCCTCCCCTCCCTGGGCCTGCCTCCCTAACAAGGTGGCATCCTGCTGCGTGGGGCTGCACAGCCCTTGGGACAGTCAGTGTCTAAGCGGAAGGTGGGTGTGTCTTGGAGGGCCCAGCGGCTAGGGGCCTGCCCTGCGGAGCCAAAGGCAAGAAGAGCACTCAGCACATCCGGTCCTGCCTGCAGGCAGTTACTGCAGTGGCCACGGGTCTCCTGAGGCCATCAAGAAGATGCTCAGGGGCAGGGCTCCTGAATGAGCTGAGGGTGCTCAGCTCAAAATGCAGAGCTGGGAGTGGACGCCCAGGGACGGGCAGGCTGGACCACGCTCAGGCCCGCTGGATCTCATGGGCTCGCCTGGCCACTGCCACTGCTTTTGGACATGCTGGGGAGCAGGAACCAGGCCAGGGCCTGGTCCAGATACAGAGAACAGCAAGAAGCACCTGCTGACACTGGGGCCACTCAGGGAGACTACAGCCCTCTACTGCTCAGCCCACACCAGGCAGCCGGCTCAGAGCATCAAGGGCGGTCACAGGCAACCAGTCACGCCATGCTGCCTGGACTAGGCCTGGCTAGGTGTGGGCCTGCACAGGCCTGAGAGCGAAGGGCCCCGCAGCCTCAGCAGCAGAAGGTCGTGGCCCCTGGTTAGTTGCAGCCTCAGCTGCCCTGCTGGGCGCCATGGCACAAACAGTCCAGGCCAGGCCTCGTGGGTCTGGGCGGGCTGAGGCATCATGATGGTGGCGGTGGCCGGGCAGGGACCCCCGTCCACGCAGGAAGGACTGGCCACCTCCGTGGAGGGACTCGGGGGCCGTGGGCCCCGGGCTGTGCTGAGAGAACTGTGTGACAGGAGCCCAGCAATGGGCCACACGCCAGCGCTCTGCCTTGCGCCCCACGCAGGCTACGTGCCGCCCGCCCGCCCGCCCGCCGGCTTTTCTGGCAGCTCTGTATCAGAACCAATAAAGTGCACTTGTTCTCAGAACGCATCCTGTCTGTGTGTCTGCTTACCCACGCCCCTTGGGTGGGCCTCCCTCTGCCTGGGCTGGGCCCTGGGGGCGGGGCAAAGAGGGAGGCCAGCGAGGGTCGGGCGCTCACTCCCTTCAGCCTCCGGACTCCCTGCAGCTAATGCGTGTTACTTCTGTTTGTAGTTCTTTCCCCCAAGCTTGAGTACGCCTCCATTTGCCATAATTGCGTTTGATTAGCCTTGTGACCAGTAGAGCACGCTGTGTCCTCCTGGTAAGTTGCCTTCCTCCCTGGCTGAGCCTTTGTCCTCGCTCGGCCTCTGGAAGGCGCCGCCCCCGGCCCCGCCCACACTGACTGCCGGCTCTTCCCGGCCTGTCTGTCTCCACAGAGGTCCAGTTTCGGCCGTACCGCACGGATGACTTCATCACACGCCTGTACTACGAGACGCCGAGGTTCACGGTGCTGAACCAGACGTGGGTCCTGAAGGCGCGCGTGAACGACTCGGAGCGTAACCCCAACCTGTCGTGCAAGCGCACACTCTCCTTCCAGCTTCTCCTCAAGAGCAAGGTCACGGCGCCCCTGGAGTGCTCCTTCCTGCTGCTCAAGGGTCCCTATGATGATGTGAAGATCAGCCCGGTCATCTACCACTTTGTCTTCACCAACGAGAGCAACGAGACGGACTACGTGCCACTGCCCATCGTCGACTCGGTGGAGTGCAACAAGCTGCTGGCCGCCAAGAACATCAACCTGCGGCTCTTCCTGTTCCAGATACAGAAGTAGGCGGCTCTGCTGTGCTGCCCACGCCTGCCCAGCGGCGGCTTCGCCGTGATGTGTGACCATCTGAGCAACGGAGGAGGAGGAGTGAATGCGAACGTTGGGAAAGTCTGCATGCGTGTGCGAAGGCGTGAGTGCTCACGCCTCGCCCTCTGCCCCGCCTCCCCTGTCCCAGACACCGGAGGCTGGGCCACCTGCAGAGGAAACGGTGGCTCAGGGACACCATGGGGCTAAGCCCAGTGGCCACGCCCTGGCCCCCAGTGGCGCAGTGGGGCGCACCGTCTGCTCTGGGCCGTGCTCGGCCCCTGGGCCGGGCTCGGGGAGCACGCTGACTTCAGACGGCATATTTGATTGCAATTAAAAAGGCACCCTTGTTTCCTACTTTCTGTTTTGTTTGAGGGAAAGGCGTAGCTGCGATTGGACATTGGGGGAGCTTTGATTTGGCCTGGGGGTCAGAGCCCAAAGGTCCTTGTCACTACACCTCCATGTACACCCACCACCAGAGCCGGGGTCTTGCCGCGGCCCCAGCGCACCCCCCACCCCACCAGCTGCCCCAGAGGGGCAGGACTTGGCCACCCAGGCTCAGCAGATGCTTCGGAATGCAGGGTGAAATTCTGTCTCTTCCCAGGAAAAAAATTAAACTCTTTACAGGCTCTTCTATAAGTTATGAAATTTGGCAAGAGAAAATCTATTTTGTGTATTCAGCCTTGAGGGCACAGCATCCCCAGCCTGTGAGGGAAGCTGTGGGTGGGGGCTGCTGGTGATAAGCTAGCCTGGCTGGGGGAGGGTTTGAGTGGGCCGGCCATCCCCCATGCTGCTGGCCCTGTGTCTGGGGGGGCCCCCCACAGAGGTCAGTCCTTGGGCAACCTGGTTTCTCGCTGGAGGGAGCTCTTCAAGCCTCAACTTCGCTGCCTCCATGACCCTGGCCTGCAGTGAGCAGGCCTCAGTGTGTGGGCCTCACAGCTGGGGAAGGAGCCCTGCCTGGAGGCCCCTGGGACCCTCAGAGCTGCTGGAAAGGGGAAAGCTTGCCCCCCCCCCCCTTTGCTTAGGAGACACGGCTCTTCTGCGATAGGTTTCTGTTGCTTAAATACCAAAGAACCGTTTCCTTTGCCCCCGGCCTGGCCTACCTGATGCTTTAGAGCAGTCCCTGCCACTCCCGCCCCCCTCCCGACCTAGCCCCCCATTTCCCGGGCCCTGTAGGCTCAGCATGCTGGGGAGCCCTGGCAGCAAGAGTGCAGAGCTGCAGGCCTGGCCTTGCTCTGTGGTCCCTCCCTCTCCCAGCCCTCAAGCTGGGAGCTGAGAAATGGAGGCAGGGAGGCCTGGGGTAGAGTACGCCTCATCCCAGTGCTGAGCCCAGGCAGCCGTCTGAGCCAATTCTCCCCCCAGGGCAGCTGGCCTAGTTATATTGAGAAGACTGGTTAGCTTCCTGTTTCCAGCCTAGGGCGCGGGGCTTATGGGGGAACCCCTCCTGCAAGGCCATCTGTGCCTGGCCACTGAGGGCACCCAGAGGTGCTATGCTTGCTTTCCTACCCTCCACAAAGATGCCACCCAGCCCCCAGCACATCCTCGGGGGCACACCCTGGCAAGAGTCCCACTGCCCTCGAGGGCTGCCCCCCACCCGGCAGGCACAGGATGACATTCAGATAGCCATGTGCCAGGTCTCGTGTGTAGAGGGGATGGGGCTGCGTCATTGCATCTCAGCATCTCTTGGGGATGGACACCGTCTCTGTAGAGTGTCTGGATTTCAGAGGACCATGTGGTGGAGGAGCCAGGCCGGGGCAGGCTTGCCTGTGTTTGGGTGCATGTGTGAGAGATTTGAACCAGCAGAGGGGTGGCGCCCAAAGGCTCTCCTAGCTGGGGCAGGGTGGGAGGCAGCAGATCTCTACGCAGGTCAGGTATGTGGCTGGGCCTTCTCAGCCCTGTCTCTGCAGTCCTAGGTCTAGCAGTCCTTGGGGATGGGGGTGGCAGATGGGCTGGGCTCTGCATACCAAGGGTTCCTGGGTGCTGTGGGCATATAGCCCACTATTTCCGGCAGCCCAAGGGCATGGGGGGGCAGGGTGGCACCCACCCAAGGCCCTCCTTGTAGGGGCATGTGTCTGGGGATGCCCAAGAGGAGTGGTAACACATCCCAGCATCGCTGTCCCCAGCACAGCCCCCACCCCGTGACAGTCACCTCAGCAGCTGAGTCTTACAGCCTGGTGGAGACAGGTACCCTGGGAGATTGTGGTATGTCTCAGCCACTCCTGGGAGCTGGTGCCACAAACCTCCTGTGGCATCTCACGGGGGCGTCCCCGGATCCCATCCATGTTGCTAGGAAGGAGAAAACACCCATGGTCTGTCTCCAGGACCCCTTGCCATCTTGGCATCCTGACCTAGAGTGGGGGAAGAACCCCAACAGATGTGGGGGAGTCCTGGGGGCACAGACCAAGCTGGCCCCTCTACTCCCTGCCATTACCACTCCCCTACGGGCACTACATCCCTCAGTTCACCCAAGTGAGACATTTACAAAAATAATAAAAATAATTTTTTAAAGAGTAAAGTGAGAGGTGTTTTTATCACTGTGGGAAATGACTTACATGTCACTATTGTGGTCTGTGTTCTCTTTGGATATTTTCTGTATGTAACTATAGTTTCAAAAAAATTCCAAACCATGTTTTGTCTGTGTTTCCTTATGTGAGAAGCCAGCCTCATGGATGCGTTTCCCTGGGCTCTGCTAGCATCCTGGACAGGAGTCAGGAGCTGCCCTGGCTGGGCCCCCCACCCCACAGCCCCTGCTTGGGATGCCCCATATACACATCCTTGCCTGATCGGTGGGAAGACTGAGGCATAGCGAAGTGGGGTCCTCTCTGGCTGTCTTGTGAATGCCGAATGCTCCCAGCAGCTCTGGGGAGACTCCCTCCGCCCTTGGCCTGTTGAGCTGAGCCCGTCTCTACTTCCGTGGCCTTGCTCTCCCACCCCTGCCCCATCTCCACCTTGCCCCTCACTGTGCTTTTCACACTCCATCAGCAGGCCCTCCAAGCAGCCCTCTCGGTTTCAGGGCCTTCCTGTTCTGCTCCCCACTCCCAGACCAAACTAGGGACCCGCAGAGCACTTTATCCTTCCAAGAGAAGAGGGTTACCTGGGTCCAACTTCCCATCTCCTGCACTTCCTCAGGCTTGGCTTTGCCCCCATCCCTGAAGCCTGGTCACTGGCCCTGGGCAGTCTTCCCTGGACCCAGAGACCCATCTACCCTCTACGTCGTCATTCCCTCCACCACAGGCCTTACGGTCCATGCACTGCCTCAGGGTTTCTACCCTATTGGGTCTGTTTTGATTTCCACAGAAAATAAATGCATCCACCATCCCACCCTTTCCGGCCCTCCTCTGGGGCCTTTGGACACCAGCCTTGGCACCCAGTGGGGACTGAGATCTCCAAGGCATGGCAGGTGTTTGGTTCTCGAAGCCGTGGGAGACACGACAGGCACGTAGAGGTCTGCGGCCTGGGTGCACCAAGCCCACAAGGTGAGGAAGAAGTACCTTGCTCTGCTCAGTTTGGAAAACACGTCCACCCCCTTCTCCCGCGCCAAGCACTGGGGATTTGTGTCCGCGAGCGTGACGACTCTGTGGCTGCATTCGCGGTTGTTCCACAGGCTCTGCGGAAAGGGGCGTATTTGATTCCGTGCACCTAGCCAAGTACTCAAGGGTACTTGACCATAAATCTCTTCATCTCCTTTTATATGGAGGCGGTGCGTCCCTCAGGTAAAGTCGCAGGTGTAGGTAGGTTTTGCGTGTGTGTGTGTGTGTGGGTGTGCGTGTGAGGTTAGCGGCCGCACGCGGGCACAAGCCCAGGAGACCCCACCCCAAAGGCGGCTGCGGGGCCGGGGAGGAGCGTGGGGTGGGGCTCAACTCCCACGCGGCCCCAGGAGTCTGGGGAGGTGCGGATCCTCCCGTCGCTCTCTCGCCGCCCTTCCCCACTGAACGCCACCCGGACTACAGCTCCCAGGATGCTTCGGGCAGCTGGACTACACTTCCCGGGATGCTCCGCCCCGGCAGGGGCGGGGCCTGGGGCGGGGCCGCGGCGGGAGCGCGGGAAGTCCGGATCCCCGCGCGCGGCTGCTTGAGCATGAACGTGGAGCGCGAGCTTCGCCGTGAGTCTCCCGGCCGGGTGTGGGACCGGGAGCGGGTTTGGCCCGCCCGAGCGAAGGGGCTCAGCCTCCCGGCTTCGTCTCTCTCTCTCTCTCTCTGCAGAGCTGAGCAAGGCCAAGGCCAAGGCCCAGAGGAGCGGGCAGCTGCGGGACGAGGCGGTCCTCTGCCACCAGCTGGGGGAGCTCCTGGCCAGCCATGGTGCGTGCCCCGCGCCTGGTCCAGGTTGTGGTCCAGGACCGGGAGAGCTGGGGTGTTGGAGGTCGGGGGGCACTCGGGGGCCGGAAGGGACGGGGACCGGCGGGAGGGGGGCGGGAACCTTGTTGAGCGAGCCGCCCAGGGCCGCCCACAGCCGCGCTCGCCCGCGCAGCCCCCGGCTGACTGCCCGGCCCGGGCTGAAGCCTGCCGTGCCTGCCCGCCCAGGTCGCTACGCAGAGGCCCTGCGAGAACACCAGCATGAGCTCCAGCTCCTGGAGAGCGTTGACGACCCCCTGGGCTGTGCCGTGGCCCACCGCAAGATCGGAGAGCGACTGGCTGAGCTGGAGGATTACTCGGCCGCCTTGAAGGTGGGCGGAGCCCACCCCCACCCCCACCCCCAGCGCCCTTGCAACCACATCCAGCCCTCCAGGGCCCACGCTTCCTGCTGGTCCCTTTTTCTTTCTTTCTTTTTTTTTTTTTTTTAAAGATTTTGTTTATTTATTTATTTGACAGAGAGAGAGAGAAACAGCATGAGAGGGGATAGGGTCAGAGGGAGAAGCAGGCTCCCCGCCGAGCCGGGAGCCCGATGTGGGACTCGATCCCAGGACTCCAGGATCATGATCCGAGCCAAAGGCAGTCGCTTAACTAACTGAGCCACCCAGGCGCCCCTGCTGGTCCCTTTTTGAGGAGGGAAGTCCAGTCTTCAGTGTCTGACCTCTGGCTAAAGGAGGACACGCCTGGACATGGCCTCTTCTTCAGACAGCCCTGTGACGGGGGATTGTAGTCTGGTCCTTGGGTAGGCACATCATAGCCTGTCCTAGGGGCCTGGGCCCAGCAACCATTAGTGAACACAACACTTGGGCTGTGTTTGTGGGCCGGCTGGGGAGTTGGGCCCACTGTCCACAGAGGGCCTGCTCTGGCCCTGGCTAGTGGGGCTGCAGCAGCCCAGCTAACTTGCACTCGTCTCTTCCTCATGATGATGTTGGCGGGTTGGAGTGGGGCACCACCATCCCCACAGGCAGCCCTTGGCACGGAAGAGATGGGACATGTGCAGCCTGGCTTTGGCCTGCTCTGCGGGGACTTGGGGGAGTAGGGGACTCTCCTGGGCAAAGGTAGGGACCTCCTGGAGTTGGGGTATGTAAGAGATTGGCTTGCGGTGGGGGAGGTTGGCTCACAGTGGCCATTCCTTTGCGCCCTAGCACCAGCATCGCTACTTGGAGCTGGCCCATTCTCTGTCCAATCACACTGAGGTGCAGAGGGCCTGGGCCACCATTGGCCGCACCTACCTGGACATCTATGACCACTGCCAGTCGCAGGACAGCTTGCTGCAGGCGCAGACTGCCTTTGAGAAGAGCTTGGCTATTGTGGACGAGAAGCTGCAGGGTGAGTGGTCGTGGAGGCCTGCCTTCCCCAGCCTCTGGTTCCAGACCTGCTGGCCAAGGAGGCTGTAGCCCCACAGCCTGCCCGGTGTGCATGGCAGGTTCCACTGGTCTGGGCCCTCCCTTTATAAGGCTGAAATCTGTCCATAAAGCCTCCCGTGAGGAGATGCGTGGCCCGTGCTCCTCACAACCTCAGGTCTGGGCGTTGTCTGCTCTGTGTCTGTTTGTGCTCTGTCTACAGCAGGACCCCTGGGCCCCCGCAGTGTGAGACAGGTTGGGGAGAGGCTGCACACACCCAGAGCTGGATACCCCAAGTGGGCGTGATGCCCCCCAGGCCACTGATGTGGGGGGGCCCTCTTCTAGGGACATTGGCCAGGCGAGAACTGAGCGAGATGAGGACCCGACTCTACCTCAACCTGGGCCTCACTTTCGAAAGCCTGCGGCAGGTGGCGCCATGCAACGACTACTTCCGGAAGAGCATCTTCCTCGCCGAGTAAGGCCTCCGTCCCCAGAGGAAGGGGCCTCGTGAGAGTGCACTACCCATCTGCCCTCCCCCGCCCAGTCAGTCTCCTCCAGCGAGGCGCCCCTGCAGGGCTAGCGCACTTTGCTAGAGCACGTCCTGTTGGGGAAGGAGCAGCTGCGTGTCAGCACTTCCGGTGCTCTCTTGTGCTATCCCAGGGGCACTCTGAGCACCTGTCACCACCCGCAGGCAGAACCACCTCTACGAGGACCTGTTCCGTGCCCGCTACAACCTGGGTGCCATCCACTGGCGCCGAGGGCAGCACTCCCAAGCCATGCGCTGCCTGGAGGGGGCCCGAGAGTGTGCACGCCTCCTGAGGAAGGAGCTGATGGAGAGCGAGTGCTGCGTGCTCCTCTCACAGGTGCCCACCCTCACAGCTCTGGGCTTAATCCCCTGAGGGGCTCGGGCTCTGCGGAGTCTGCAAGCCTCACCTTCCCTTCCCCCCCAGATCCTCCAAGACCTGGGCGATTTTTTGGCTGCCAAAAGAGCCCTGAAGAAAGCCTACCGGCTGGGCTTCCAGAAGCCTTTGCAGAAGGCGGCAGTCTGCCGGACCCTCAAATACGGTGAGCCTGGGGACCTGAGGGGCCAAAGTCCCCCAGAAGGGGTGGGGAGGTGGCAGCATCAGTGTGGAGCCTTTTCCTGCCCCCCCTTCTTGTTGGGAAGCGAGCCCCACTTTTCTGTGAGGCTTCAGCACAGTGTGTCAGAGGGGAACGAGGTGGTCAGGAGCCCGGCTGGGCATTTATACGTGAGCAGGATCTTCATTGGCAAAGTGGAGACAACAGCCTTGCATAAGAGGGTGGGAGAGGGGGCTCCAGATGTAGCTTCCCTTGCAGGCCAGGCGCTGCTTTCAGTTGTCGTTTATTCGTTTTCCTGATCTCACGACCCTGTGGGGTGCATTTGCTTACTAACCCCTCTTACCAAGGGACAAGCGGGGCGTGGAGAGGGTGGCCGGCCCACCTAAGGGGCAGTCAGGTCGGAAGTGCGCTGTGCCTGCCTTCACGTGAGGCCCTTGTCTGCAGTGCTGGCCGTGGTCCGGCTGCAGCAGGAGCTGCAGAAGTCCGAGGGCAGTGACCCTCAGGTTGCCATGGGCATCTGTGAGCAGCTGGGGGACCTGTTCTCCAAGGCAGGCGACTTCCCCAAGGCGGCCGAGGCCTACCAGAAGCAGGTGTGCGTCCCCTGCCAAGGTGGGAGGAAAGGGGCGGGGACACCCTGGCTGGCAAAGGTGCAAGGCAGCGCTGGCCTCGCTGTGTGCCTCCACAGCTGCATTTCGCAGAGCTGCTGGGCCGGCCAGGGCCCGAGCTGGCCGTCATCCACGTGTCCCTGGCCACCACCTGGGGAGACATGAAGGACCACCGCCGGGCTGTGTCCCACTATGAACAGGAGCTGAGGCTGCGTGGTGGCGACGCTCTGGAGGTGAGCAGTGATGGTGCCCAGCCCTACCCAGGGTGCAGAGGGGCTCCAAGGAGGTCCCCACAGCTCTGCCTCAGGACGGCCACCCTCGAGTGGTGGGCATGGACAAGCATCCTCTTTCCAGGGCTGTTCCACGTGGGCGACAGTGGGGACCTGGCCCTGGCTGGGGCCAGTTCAGTGGGGTGGGCGGTCGCCACAACGCTCATCCTTCCTCCTCTTGCTGCAGGAGGCCAAGACCTGGTTAAACATCGCCCTGTCCCGAGAGGAGGCCGGTGATGCCTACGAGCTTCTGGCCCCATGCTTCCAGAAGGCTCTCAGCTGTGCCCAGCAGGCCCAGCGGCCCCAGCTGCAGGTACGAAAGCCCATGCGGCGATTCCCTGCAGCCCTCCTGTCCTTGCTGCCCACCCCCAACTTCCCCCACTCGGGGGTCTGCTGGCCCTGGGGCCCTGAGCCGGGGTTCCCCTGCTCCTCAGAGGCAGGTCTTACAGCACCTCCACACCGTGCAACTAAGGCTGCAGCCCCAGGAGGCTCCTGACGCCGCGGCCCGACTGCAGGAGCTGAGTGTGCCCAGAGACCAGGAGGAGGACGATGAGGAAGAGAAGGAGGGGGACGGGGACACTCCAGAGGCCAGCGATGTGGAGCTCTCAGAGAGTGGTGAGGCAGCAGCCGCCCCTGTGGCCCTTCCCCCATGGCCCTCCCTCCCCCCTGCCCTTCCCCACT